CTTCCTTCCTTCCTTCCTTCCTTCCTTCCTTCCTTCCTTCCTTCCTTCCTTCCTTCTTCTTTGTTTATAAAATGTAAAAATCTGTCTCTCCTCTGGAAAAAGACATGCCTTTGCCACAGACTTGGACAGTGTTGAAATTGGTGTCACAATCACATGGAAAATAATAAAAAGATCAGAAGGAGGAGTGAGAAAGCCCTACACTTCGAGGCCTTCTCAGGGGAGATTTGCCCTACAGAGCTGTACAAGTCTCCAGGCTTCCTTGCCTCAGCCCAGGACAGAGCTGCGTTTTTCTATCAGAGATGAGTGGGTTGAGCCACCTGGCTTCAGAGCCCCCTTAGATCCTTCCAGAGTAGCAAATACCAGAGAAAAACGTGGCAAATATTTTCCAGTGTCTTCTGTCTTCTTCCCCGTTCTTCCAGTCTGGGAAGCTCTCATCTCTGTTACCACAGTAAAGATTGACAGGTTGTGTATGTCCCTATGACTCTGTGCTACCCTGTCAATATTTTCACATTTTTTAAAAGGAAGGTTTTATCTCAGAAATTTGTTTTGCTAATAGGCATTTCTGCCCTTCAAAAATAATGTTCCTAGTTACTGCCTACTTCCTGAATCTTTCCTGAATTCCATACTTTGCCCAGATGACATCTTCAAAGATAAATAAATTATTTCTATCTTTCCTTACAGAGCCATCAGTTTTTCTGTCCTTTGCTGAATGTGCCTGCCTCATTAGTCTTTGGTGACCCTCCCATAATAGGCATTTCCTTCATTTCTCAATTCTTCACCTTTACTAATAGTTAAGCAAATCTCAGCAAACTTCAGGCACCAACAAATGTGTGCAGTTATATGTTACAGTCATATCTGTCTAGCCAATTTTAATTCATTCCACAAAAACATGCAAAATTCTGTCATTACCACTCACTCTTGGAATGGAAAAAATTGAGAATAAGCTCAGTGGTAACCTGTCAGTTTGGCCATGGAAAAAAGCACATGTATTAAGGCTCCTGACAAACTGAGTGCAGCGTAACATTATAGTCTCCCTGCTGCCTTAGGCTTTTAGGAATTTGGTGGAAGCTTTTGCAACTGCAATGAGGGACTTTAAGAAAAGAATCATAAACCATTTTCATAATATTGATTTACATGATCATTTCCTATTTTTGAATACTGCAGTTAAGTATTTAAACTTTACTATTGCCTCTTTTTGCAGTTTGAGTGACATCCATTGAAGATTAAATTTTAGCCATGCCATTAGAAAGTTCACTACAGTACAAATATTTATTTGGGTTGGGATTTTTTTGTGTGATTTATTGTTCCATAAGATAAGTGTTAAACCCATCTTAGCTTTGTTCAATATTTAGCTTTTCTGTCAATTTCCACAGAAATCAGTACCATTTTGATGTCCTATTAATTTTCCTGACATTGTTCAGTAGGGATCATATACTAGATAGATACTTAAATTTACATATATTGCAAAGAATATTAGATCTGAAGTTATTTCCTCTTTTCTGACATTATCAATATACACTAAATTCTGTTCTGTTTTCTGCCATTTTAAGAGCATGCTGTGTTTAAATTCTTGGCTGTGTAAACGAAGCCCTGGTTCCAGCAACTAACTATGAGGATGATCTGGCTTTTTGCAAATGTGGGAGTGGTGCTTGGGTGGAGCTGCACTAGGAACAGGAAGGGATGATTGAGCAACAGACGCGTGGGAGCAAATCTGAGCAAATCTTGGCCTTTCTCTTTATGTGCTCAAGTCAAGAGATCTGTCTGATATTTAAAGTGGCACTACGTCTGTATATCAGTGATAAAGGCACCTGAATATATTCAGGCATAACACCTTTTTCTGTAAAATGGTAGTTTGATAATTGTATTGTTATGGAAGATAAGGACTCTCCTGTCCCCCTCTTGGCTCTCTATAGAGAGTCC